TTTTCCATCTCTATATCCTTTTTGGTGAAATGTCTTCTTAGATCTTTTTTGTCCAAATTCCAAATGATGGTCTCCTGTCATTGTTTTCTTTCTTTCTTTGTTTTGCTTTGTTTTAGTGTTCTTTATATATTGTAGATACTAGTCCTTTGTTGGATATGTGTTTTGCAGATAATTCCCTCACTCTGCAGCTCATCTTTGTGTTCTTTTACAAATATTTTTCACAAAAAGAATAATAGTTAAAACTGGAAGTGTCTTTCCCAGAACAAAAGTTTTAATTGGGATCAAGTTCAATTAATCAAATTTTCCTTTTCTGGCCTAAGAATTCACTGCCTAGCTCCTAGATCTTAAAGATTTTCTTCTATGTTTTTCTCAAAGTTCTACAATTCAATTAAGTCAGCGATCCATTTTTAGTTCATTATTGAGCAAGGTGTGAGAGTTGGGCTGACATGTTGTACATGTTGTTGTTTTGCTGGGAATGTCCAGTGACTCCAGCGCCATTTGTGGAAAAGACTAACTTTCGTCCATTGAATTGTTTTTCATTGTCATCAAACAGGTCAGGCTCGTGTGGGTCTGTGTCTGTGCTCTCTATTCTGCTCCGATGATCTACATGTCTGTCCCTCCACCAGCACCACATACTCCGGACTCTGGTAGCCATGTAACGTCTTAAAATAAAATCGACTGATTCCCCCTATTTGTCCTTCATCAAAATTATTTAAGCAGTACTAAAGACCATGCCTTTACGAATAAATTTGGGAAGTGATTTGCCTGTATCCACAAAATTCTTGCTGGAATCAAATTAATTTTTTAAATACTATAACTCTTTCCCACCCTGAATATTTTATGTAAAATATCATCACCGTTCAGTTTGCTCATGTTCAAGTTTCCTTTTCCCAAATGTCAACACGCATTCATTCAGTCAACCCAATTAATTGCTGTGAGCACCTGCTATGTGCCGGGAATAGCACAGGTCATTCCGGATGCAAAACAGAAAACGCGTGCCCACTTTGCTCAAGGAAAGCAAGTCTGGGGGCTGATGGCTAACTCGGGAATTTTCTTTTTAATGTTTATTTTTGAGAGAGAGAGAGAGAGACAGAGTGAGAGTGGGGGAGGGGTAGAGAGAGAGGGAGACAGAATCCGAAGCAGGCTCCAGGCTCTGAGCTGTCAACGGGGCTCGAACTCACGAACTGTGAGATCATGACCTGAGCAAAGTCGGACGCTCAACCAACTGAGCCATCCAGGTGCCCCTAACTCAGGACTTTTTTAAAAACTCCACGTTATTTTCAATGTGCATATCTATTAGGTCCTACAGTTTAACACCCAAAATTGATCATGCCGTTCATTGGAAAGCCAGGGCTCCTGTCATCTGATCTGCCCCATGACCTGCGGTCCACGACACTCAGGTGCAGGGGACTGCCCCAGGGGGAAGCAGTGGTGAAATCTACACAAGTGTCCGGGTCCGTTCTCTGCTCATCTCCCTCGGCTCCTTGCTGTGCCTCTTACAAGTAAAAATGAACAACCAGGAGTGAGCCATTCATCCACCCGTTCATTCATTCATTTATTCAACACTTATTTAGCGTTCATGACCTTCCCAGGCTTGGACTGGGATTGGGAGAATGAGGCCAGAGAGCCCGCCTACCCGGACGCCAGCAGCTCCCAAGGAGAACGAGGGGGAAGGACTGGAGGGGTGAAGCAATCTGTAGAGGCCCGGCCGGGGAGGGAATGTGGCTGCTGGCGGAAAGGCCAGTGGGCCAGGGTGCTGCGAGCAGGGAGCCGGGGAGCTGCCAGCCTACAGCTGTGGGCAGAAACGAGTTCCAAAGGGCTTTCGGCCATGTTGGCACAGGGAAGCTTGCGGAAGTGCGGTGGTTCCCAGGCAAGAGTGCCCACCTCCTGGCCGGGCTCTAAACAGGTTGGAGAGCAGAATGACATATGCAGACCACTATGATCGCTGACGGGCCAGGCCAAAGGACCCGGCCTAGCGGCCTCTCCCACTGAGCAAGGGCTCTGAGCAGATTTGTACGTGAAGACCCAGATCCCTCTGGCTGCAGCGGAGAGGAGAGTGAGAGTGCCTTGTTTCTCGAAGGAGCTTGAGGCAAGAGAGGCCGGAGGAGTCTCCTCCAGGAGTGAGGCGGTGTTGAAGGGCCACAGCCTGGCAGAGCAGCACCGTCTGTCTCCCAGGCCCGCCTCTCTTCTCCTTTCCTCGCTAGGCTGTGTGCTGCCCCCAGCCCCTCTCTCTAACCTCGACTGGAATTTCTTAAAGATGTTCACTGTGACATCAGGGAAGATGCGGGAATGCACTCAGCGTCAAGGCAAGCCTCTCCCCACGGACACTTGCAGTGCTCCCTGAACCTTCCCCTTCCCTGGAGGCCTCGGTGCCCATGGTGCCCCCCGCCTAGAGCAGAGCCAGGGGCCAGCCCCACCTCCCACGAGGCGAGGCAGTGACTCTGCAGACCCCAGATGGAAGGCACAGTGATCCTGGGGAGCCCGCTGCCCAAGCAGCCCGTCCCCGTGCCGGGCCTCGGATAATGGCACAAAGACATATACACAGGTGACAAAATCCATTTAAAGGTCTGAACCGCAAACCCAAGACCTAGTTGTTTGTTTTGTTGGTTTTAATTTTTTTTAATGTTTATTTATTTTTGAGAGAGACAGAGCATGAGCAGAGGAGGGGCAGAGAGAGAGGGAGACACAGAATCCGAAGCAGGCTCCAGGCTCCGAGCCGTCGGCACAGAGCCCGACGCGGGGCTCGAACTCACGGACCGTGAGATCGTGACCTGCGCCAAAGTCGGATGCTTGACGGACTGAGTCACCCAGGTACCTCCTTGTTTTGCTTTTAAATAAAACCCCTAAATTAGACTTCTTCTGTAGTATAACACTTTTTAAAGTGCTAACTCTTATTTTTTATTTTCATTTTCAACACAAAATATTTCCACACAATAGAAATGTACAGAGTAACATAACTGCATGTGACCATCATTCCAAGTGAATAATCATTCACCTTTCGTGGGACATTTACATCAGATACGCTTTTCAGAATTAAAACATCACCAATAGCGCTGGACCCCCCTCCAAATCCCCCCCCCCCCCCCCCCCGCCCTTCACAAGTACTCAGGCACCCTGCGGGGGGAGTGGAGGCCTTCCTTCCCACACTGTGACAGCAGCTTCTGGGACAGCCCCCCACCCGTCTGTAACTGTAAATAGCACAGAATACTGTCATCCGTAAAACTCCACCCTTTGCATCATCTTGCCCGAATCCTTTTCCTTTCGGAGGATTTTCTCACTGAGCTTTGCACCTTCAGGACTTACACACTTTGACCCAAGGGGCACTACCTTCATGCACATTCACCCCTGGGGGCCACTGTGTTCCATGAAATATGCCCCACGTTGCGTACCCAGGCCTGCGCTGACTGCGGTCCGGGGGTCCCCAGTTTGCACTTGGCAAACAACGCTGCGGGCGGTGCTTGGCCACCCCTCCCTGCCTCCACTGGCCTGCTCTCTGTGGTGGACCAGGAAGTGGTGGGTTGCAGACCAGAGAAGTGGGTGTCTGCTGACCTCCCACGTGCTGCCGAACAGCTCCCTAGTTTCCTCTCAGCAATTTCAGCTAGCACTGCAGTGAGAGACATTCCCTGTGCCTGCACCCTCGGGCCTAGTCTGGTGGCCTCCAGTGGACGGAAAGTCGCACCTGGGGCACTCTCTGATTTCCCATCACTAGGGAGTTAGGGCATCCTTGAGCCTTTTCAGACCTGCTCTCCGCACAGTCTGTTCCTATCTCGGGTCCATTTTTCCACCAAATGGCTCGTCTTCACTCTCGGACTCTGAGGATTCTTTCTGATTCTGCACAGCAAGGCTTGTCCTATCTGCAAACGCTCCCAGTGTCCTCCCCCTGGTGGGGATCGGCCATTTCTAGGCTGCCCAACTGAAGTTTTAATGAGGACTGTTTTGGTGCAATTTGTCAAATGGCTGCCGCATGCTCTCCAGTTTTTCAAAAGAAAAACAAAACAAATCAAAAACAAAAAGGAAACAAAACCCTCCTGCCCTCCCTACCTAAGCAATCCCAGGTGTGCCACAGCCTCCGGGAGAGCTTGGTAGGGGCCGGGCTGGCCTGTGCGCCTGCCCTGTGCCCCCGAGTCGGCGGTCTGGGCGAGCTGTTTTGGGGTACACACGACCCACGAGGAGTTAGCCCGAGGCGATGCAACACGGCCCCAGACAGGCGCTAAAGCAGCCGTCAGACGGCTGAAGAGAAGCCTCCTTCGCCAGCGTATTCCTGCGAGCGGGGGTCCTACCTGCTCCTGCGCCCGCGGGCTCCGCTCGGTCCGCGCCGCCGGCCCCCGGAGGTGCGCCCCCCGCTCGAGCGGCGACGGCCAGGGGGGCGGGGGGGGGGCTCGCCCACCTGCCTCCCGCGCGGATCGCTGACCCACGCGGGCCGCTCCCGAAGCGGGTCTCCAGGAACGGAAATCGGGCTCGGGGGCTGCGCGCCGGAGGCGGGGGAAGCGGCGGCAGAGGAGCTGGGAGGACGCGGACGGGGGGAGGCGGGGGGCGGGCAGGGACCGAGGCCAGAGGCCGCCGGACGCGCGGAAGTGGGGACGCGGCGGAGGCGGGCGCCGCGGGGAGCACGCACACTTGGCTGCCCGCTCGAAGGCACCGGGGTCTGCCGTCGCTACGCTGGAGTCAGCGACCGGTAACCAAACACCGGTGCCTGGGGAGCCAGAGAGGTGCCCTCGGTCCTGGGGTCCAGACCCCACGGGCTGCCCCCGGCCTCTGGGGGCTGCGCCCTCGGGTCTCCTCCCGCGAGGCCGCAGGCGGCTCCGGGCCGGGGGCGAGGGGACCCCCCCACCCCCGCCTGCCAGGGTTCTCCCGCGCGCTCGCTCTGCGGGGACAGGTCTCACCGGAACCGTGTTTGAGAACCTCCGAAGAGCGCCGTATCTGCAGCCCCGTCGGACGAGCCCGGAGGTACCCGCGTCGGAGAGAGATTCGCGTCTCGTTGGGACTTGCTCTTTGCGCAGTTCACGGCGGCCAGCGCTGCTTTGCGAGAAACAGAGGGAGACGGAAACAAAGGAAGTTGCAGATCCGAACTTCGTGACCCCCGACTCCTTCTGGCTGCGTTTGCTGCAGGGCCCCAGGAAGTCGTGGGCCAGCAGCGACCCGGGATTCGGAACACGCTGGGCAGGTGCCCTGACGCGCCCACGCCGATGTGGCGAAAGTCACAGCCCTGGGGGGAAATGTATACGTTCACCTTAATCGACCCCCCCCCATTACACGTTCCATTTTGTAAGTGTTGCCACCAACCCCACAAACTGCGCCCATTACCCGGCAGTGAGACAGAGTGAAGCAAGTTCGTGCGCGGCTTCGGTTCATCGAAACGCCCGGCCTAGTTTTCCTTCTTCCCCAAGTTAAAGCGACGCGGGCAGACGTAGGCCGGGCCGGGGCGAGAGCGCCCACCGCCGTTCAGTGGCCAGGGACTGCGCCGGGGCCACCGCTGCAGGGACCAGGCCGCAGCCACGGGCCACAGCGCCCCCTCGCCGCCCGCGCGCACGACTCCCGGGCCCGCGCCGCTCCCCGGCCTCCCCGCGCCCCGCCCGAGAGCCCAGGGCCGACCGAGGCTGCCAGGCGGCCCGGCCGGCGCCGCCAGCTCCTTCCGAGAGACCCTCGGGCGCAAGCCCGGCCCCAGGCCTTTCTCTGCGCTCGGCCTCGCAGGACGCCCCGGCTCCTTGAAACGTGCGTGTCCACGCCGACTCGCTCTAAAGGCACCGGCGGCTGTGGGGACAAGACACAGAAATGCGACGGTGTTAACTTCTTTTCATCAGCGCGCGGAGGGGAGGAGAGGGAAACCGAGCCCGAAACCGCGCGCCGCCTACGTGACGGTTACGAGCCATCCCATCGCGCTGTCACCGCAGCTGGCCGGGGCTGCCGCGCGGGCCTCGCCTCTGTCCGCCGCTCCGGCTCGGACGCCACGAAAACAGCCGCGGCCAGGCGCCCGGACACCCCTCGCCCGCCACCAAAGCGCCCGGGTCCCCGCCCTGCTGCACGGGCGGCCGTGGGGCCCGGGGCCGGCGGCTCGCTCCCCGCGCGGCCTGCGCTCTCCGCGGTCACCGGAGACGGAGTTCGCCACCCTCGCGGGCGGCCGCGTGCCGAGCCACCGCGTCGGGCCTCCTCGCTTGCAGCCTGTTTTTCCCACTGACTTGTTTTAAAAGAAGAGCCAGCCAACTTTAATCCAAGACAAGGAAAGTGACTTAAAAAAAAAAAAATCCGGGAGCTTTAACGTGAAACGAAGTTTGTATATTCCAGGAACAATGCGGAGCCTAAGTTTTAATGTCTCTGCGTAGGCATGTTAATTTGCTACAGTCACTACCAATAAAAGCGGCAAGCACTGCGATTCGACTGTTTAATAGTGCAAGGTAGACGGTTTTTATTAGTAGCAGGCAGCAGTATGGAGAATTTGGATTTCAGTGGAGGGGTGTAATTGCTGGGGGAAATACGCGGGAGGAAGAGGCTGTCTTCAGAATCAGCAGCTCGCGCGAAAGAGACGAAGAGGAGACAGCCGTGGTGGAGACGCGCCCTGGGCGGCGGGAGCCCCTCCAAAGCCACGTGGCCTTGTCTGCTTATATACTTAATTGATGTCAAAATCGAGTGTATCCGGAGCATACGCTCCTGCTCCAAACTGGGGATGTTTTTGTAATAATTCGCTGTTTTCTTTCTGCCCCTGGCAGAGATCAGGCCCAAGGGGGGTGGAGGGAGCGGGAGGGAGGGCGAGGGGACGAGCCCCAAATGCTAATGAAACACAGCAGGAACTGGCCTTTGGAAATGGAAACATTGCAGGCCAATCATCCTTGGTGATAAACATTAGACCTGATTTTTTTTTCACTTAAACTATCTAATTGGAAGCGAACCCCGAAGCCTGCAATCTGATCCGTTGGCTGTTACATTTGTCATCCCACCTGGGTGACTCTCTTTCCAGGCCTCTACCTCCCAGAATCCCCTCTCCGGAAGACCAAAAACATCCCAGACCCCACGCTGGTATGCTCCGACGACTGCTGGAGCACCGCCCCCCCCCTCCATTCTCCCTTTCCTTTTCAACACTTCAATAATTGGTGTAAAGTCTGCCCTACACTGAGTTAGGACAGCCCACGTGGGGCGGCAGCGTGGTGGGAACCAGGGGGCTGGGTCCTCCAAGTGGCCCAGTGTGTGGGAAGCGGCGATGTGGAGGTTGAAGCCAGGAGGCTGGATTTTAGGAAGGGGGGAGCACTGGGGAGGCAGGGGCCACAAGCCTGCAGGCCACGGAGGATGGGTTCTTCTCAAACCCGACACCTGGGTTTGGGACGGGCTCCCCTGGACCTAGGGAAAGACAAACGCAGCTTAACTATGTCTTCAAAGTTCTGCTGGCCAACAGGACTGGGCTGCAGCCTAGCCCGGGGTCTGCCCCCGCAGGACCTTAACAGAACTCGGCAGCCCGGCTGCCAGGGCAGAGTGCAGGGAAGTGTGGGGGCGAGAGGGCTGCAGGCCGAGCCCTCACCTGCAGGGATTCGACCTTACAGGAAACCTTTCCGAGGCGGCCTCTGGGGAAGAGGCACCTGTTGGGTGGGCGTCTGCCCAGGACCGCACACACGGATACCCGGTGGACCTCCTGAGCAACCCCCCCTCCGTCGGGGACCAGTACCCCCTCCCCCAGCACCCTCCTGCCCCTGGTTGGGGAGGGGTGGAAGAGGGGCAATGGAGTGAAGGGTTTTCTAGGGCTGGGGTCCCAGGGCCCGCCGCTAAGCATCTCCCCTCCGGGCCCCCGGAGGCACGTCCCGAGCCGCCAGTTACCTGGCCTACCTCTGCCGCTGCCTGCGCTCCTGCCAGCGGCCTGGCTCCTTCTCCTTCCTCCCCAAGTGACAGCAAGGCTTCGCGTCGTGCCAGAGGCGGTCGGTCCGGTGACAGTCATTCTCTAGAATGCTTTACGACACACGTCCGACGGAGGAGTCAACTTATTAAAATAAAATCAAATAAAACTCTCGGGGGAGGGGTGGCATCTTCGCGGGTGGGACACGAGCGGCGTGTGTCTAAACCTTACCCAAAGCCAAAAGTCCTCACGCCCAGAGCCCCGGGTCTCCGCTGTGGACTTCGGGGCAGCAAGCTCACCTCTGGGCCCTCCTGGCAGTCCGCGAGGAAGGCGCCCGGGATCCGGGTCCCGCAGGGACACGCGGGACGGCGCGGGGCAGGCGACCGGACCCGAGGCCACGCGGGGCGCCTTCCACGGCGAGGCCGAGGGGACCCGGGAAGGTGGAGGTGAGAGCCGCGCACGCCACCCCCGGGAGGACCCGGGCCGCCGGCGCTGCCACGCCGCCCTCCCTTCGGCCCGCGGCTCCCGGCCGGAGCCTGGGGACACGCGCGCGGTCACCTGGGCCGGCCTCTTCGTAGCGCAGAGCGGGGCGCGGGCCGTGCGTCCCCCAAGTGGACCAGACCGGCCTGCGTGCGGATGGCCTCCGCTCAGTCCCCGCGGGCCGAACGGGGAGGAGGTGGGGGGGGAGGCAGTGGCTGCG